CCTGGCTGGCCTGGCTGGGGTTGCTGAGCAGGCAGGTCTGGGACCCTACGGTGATGCGTGTGCCCAGGGCCTCCTCCTCCGCGTGCAGCACGTGGGCCTGCCCGTCCAGCTGCAGCAGCAGGCCGCCGTCCTTGAGCGTGCGCGCGGTGGCGTCCACGCCCACGCCGCCCAGCGTCAGGCGGTAGGCCTGTGGCCCGCGCCGCCGCACGTCCACCGCGTACTTGACGCCGTCCACCACAAACTCCTCGGTCAGGTGGATGAGGGACACGCGGTCCGGCGGCAGCTGGCCCTTCTGCAGGAAGGCCAGGAACTCGGCGGCGCGCGCGGCGACGCGCTGCGTGGCGCGCAGCACCGCCCCCGCCGCCACCACCAGGTGCCAGGGCGGGCGCTGGGCGCGGACCTGGGCCGCGATGCGGGCGTCCAGCCAGCCCGTGTGGTGTGCATTGCCCAGGAAGTCGGGGCTCTGGATCATGTCGGCCACGTAGTCCACGGGGGTGTGGATCTCGCCCCGGATCTTGACCTCCTTCAGCGCCACCACCATGGCGCGGATGGCGGCCTCCCGGCAATCCCCGCGCGCGAACAGGTGGCCGAACTGGGAGTCGGCAAACTCGTGCACCGCCGACCCGGCCTTGACCGAGAAGTAGCCCCAGACGTCGGGCGTGGAGCGGAAGGACACCTCGTCGATCGCGCCCGCGGTGGGCTTGAAGCCGTCGTGCGCGTTCTCGGCCGTGATGCGGACCGCCACGACGTGGCCCGCCGGCGGGCGGCGGCCGGGGCCCTCAAAGTCGATGGGTGAGTCCCCCGCGGGGTCGGCGCCGTACAGCGCGCGCAGGTCGGGGAGGCGGTGCAGGGGCACCCCCGCCGCGATGAGCAGCTGGGCGGCGGGGATGTTGACCCCGGCGATCCACTCCGTCACGGGGTGCTCAACCTGCAGCCGCGGGTTCAGCTCCAGGAAGGCGTACTCCCCGCTCTCCACCAGGTACAGGTACTCCACGGTGGCCGCGCCGACGTAGCCCACAGCGCGCGCCAGCGCGCGCGCCCGCGCCTCCATGTCCTCCAGCACGGCGGCCGGGGCGGCGGTGACGGGGCCCTCCTCCACGATCTTCTGGTGCCGGCGCTGGACGGAGCAGTCGCGGGAGAAGAGGGAGGCCACAGCCCCGTGCCGGTCCGCCAGCAGCTGCACCTCCAGGTGCCGGCTCTGGGGCGCCAGGCGCATGGCGAACACCGGCGACCCAGGCACCTCGCCCTGCACCTGGGGGAAGGCGGCGCGCACGTCCTCCGCGTTCAGCACGCGGCGGATGCCCTTGCCGCCCCCGCCCCACGACGCCTTGAGCATGGCGGGGTAGCCGATGGCCTCGCAGGAGGCCAGCGCGGCGTCCAACCCGGACACGCAGGCTGCCGCGTAGGTGGCCGCCGGGATCTCGCCGCCGGGGCAGTCGCGGTAGGCGATGCTGACCCCGGACCCGGACCAGGCCAGGGTGGGCACGCCCGCTGCCTGGGCCAGGATGGTGGACCCCACCTTGTCCCCCAGCGCCGCCATCGGGCCGGAGGGCGGGCCGATGAAGCGGATGCAGGTCGGAGTCGCGTCCAGTGCGTCAGGCAGCTCCGGCATCTCCGACGCGTGGCCCCTGTGTTTGCGTGTGTGGGAAGGGGGTGGAGAGTTGGGGGGGGGGAGGAGAAGGGGCGTGGGAGGAGGGCAAGGATGGGATCGCCTGACCTCAGCTTCGAAAATACATCGAGAACGAGGGCGACAACTCGGCAGCGTGGGGGATGTGTGATGCACGAGTCCCCACGCGGGGAGCAAGGTGCCCCACGCAGAGATGCCCCTGGGAGGAGGGACCTCGCCGCCACGGTCTGCTCCCGCCGGGTCGGCCAAGTCGTCAGCGCCTGGGGAGCCCACTTGGCACGGAGTTGCCGCTGCTTGCGGGGACCCCCCCACCCCCTTGCAAATGTGTACATAGAAGCTGAATCCCTGTTACCCAATACGAGCCCCCCGCCCCCCCTCCCATCCCCCCACCACACACGAAGCTCACCAGCCAGGCCAGACAGCGTCCACGCCGGTGCGCACCGCCACCGACGTGATGAGGCCGACGTTGGCGTAGTTGTTCACGTTCTTGCCCCCGGGCACCTCCACAAACTGGTCGGCCATGCGGATGTGCTCCGCGTCCGCCCGCATGTCCTCGGGCGTGGCCATCGCGATGAGCTTGACTGCGGCGGTGCGGGGAAGGGAGGAGGGGTCGAGGTTGTGGGGAATCGGGGGGAGAGTGGCGCAGAGGCGAGGACGCCGAGGGAGGAGAGGCAGGGGGGTGGCGCGTGCGGGGAGGAATGGGAGGCGGGGAGCGCCTTGCGCCAGCAGGATACCGCCTGGCGAGGGAATCCCACGGACTCGCGTCGCCACTCGCAGCCACGGCCTGCCCGGCCGTGGCTGCGAGTGGCTTGGGGAGAGCACCCCACCGGGTGGGGGCAGTCCCCACCACCCCGGCCCCCCCGCGCCACCAGGCGGTACCTGTGCGCTCATTGCCAAAGGTCTTGTACGCCCAGGAGCGGATGGAGCGGATGAACTTGACGGCGGCGAGGCCGTTGTTCGCCACCAAGACGCTGCAAGGAAGTGAGGAGGGCGTGGGTTATCGTGAGGATCCCAGGTGATGCAGTTGGCCGGGCAGGTCCAGGCATGGCGCGGGGCGGAGAGCTGCCCGCAGATAAACTGACGTTTTACCACAGAGGGCGAGGTCTCACGTCCGGGGACCCTCGACCACTTGGAGTAGAGAACCCGGACTGTTCCCTCATGTCAGCCTCCCTCTCAGGGAAGCAAGCAGTCCAGCCCACCGCACCGCACCTGTGGATGGCCCTGTCGCCGCCCCACTCCTGGATACGCTGCTCGAGTGCAGCCGAGACGTCGGCCGTGCGACGGGGCACCCCCCTTGAGGAGGTGGTACTGTGGATTGGGAGGGGGTGGAGTGGGAGTCTTCACGGTCATTTCTATGGGGCAGCATGGCATGTGCGACGATTGCAGAGGCAGGTACAAGGGGGGTGAACCCTGTTTGGCGGTGCAGGCCAGGTCAGCCCCAGGTCCCTCAACTGCCGCACCTGCTCAGCTCCCGGTACGATACCGACAGGAGGGAGCGGGTGGAGTTGGTCTTGGCCAACTTCGCTGCCCCGTTATCCGCCATGGCGGATGGCTTGGACGGATTGGTGGACTCGGGGGCCGAGTCTGCCGGCTTAGGCACCGTCATAGCCCGGGACCATGTACGGGGATGTGAGACCAAGACCGGGTGAGGGGGCCTGCTTTGGGACCCTGATCACCCTCACTCTATGCAAGGAGGCGTCTGCAAGGTAGACTGTCCAACTCTGGGGGATTGATACAAGATGCTGCTCTGCAAAGCAGTCTGTGAAGACGACCGGACGTCAGTGGGGAGCCGGGCACGGCAGGGTCAGGCGTCGATACCTTCCCACACAACGCTTCGGTATGTGACTCGCAATCTGCGCACAATGCATTACGAGAGCAGACCTGTCATGACATGCAGTCGGGGGGTTCGTTGCAGCCATGCGGTGCTCTCGAGGCTGACGGACGCGCGCCCCCGCGTGGTGGGTTCAAATGGCCGCTGGCTTTCTGCCACGTCGAGCAAGGGAGGCCCTGCCCAGCGAGACGATGGCGCTCATCACACACATACACTGAAATACTCTTCCACATCGCAAAATTCCCCGGAGGGCGAAGGTGGGTGCCGGAGGAGGGCATCATGGTGAACGCCACCCTCACCCCCGCCCCCGACTCCAGGACCCAGTTCATTGATGCCTTGAGAGACGCCCTGGCTGCCCCTCCAGAGCCCGTGTCCGATGCTCGAAGAGCTGCAGCTGCTCTCGAGAAATTGCAATTCGACTATCCGGTACGAGGGAGAGGCATGCCACGAGGCCAGGGCGCCTCCTGAACGCCTGGGGGAGAACCCCCCCAACCCCTGGATCTGGTGGCGAGCTGAACAGTGCTCCCCTCCCCCTGCCCTTCACCAGGATGCGACAGACTCGGAGCTGGAATGCTTTCTGAACGCTGTGCTGGGCCCGCACCCCCCCCCCATCACCCATCGCCTGTTGGAGGTGGTGGGCGAGGAGGCGGGGCGGATGGAGCTGCTGGACAAGGAGGGGCCTGCCTCCCAGCAGCACATGTACCGCCGGGTGCACAGTGCCTGCCTTCTGGTGGCCCTGCAGCATTGCCTGCACGGCAGGCCCCTTCCACTGAGGTCCGGGGACCAGGGGGGTCCGCCCGACGCCGACCCCGGGCTGCTCCTCGATCTGGCGGACCGGCTGGCGGCGGCTGCGTCGCAGATGGGGCCCGGGGACTGGGAGCGGGTGGAGCTGGCGCAGGGGCTGCAGCAGACCCTGGTGCTGTGCACCTCCCCGGCGCGAGGCATGGCGGCCGACCTGCTGCGGCGGCTGGAGGCGGCGGTGGTCCGCCTGCTGCGCCAGGCCTGCCAGGCGCGCCCCTGCCAGGCCTCCGCCTGCGTCGCAGCAAGCCTCCCCACCCTACTCCAAGGTGCTGGGGAGTCGTGGCGCTTTTGTGGTGGCGGGGGCATGGGGCCGTGCCAGGGCGACCGCCCATCGTCCTCCGCATGTGCCTGCTCCGCAGCGAGGCAGGCGACGAGCTGGTCTGTAAAAAGGATGTCGTGCCAGATTCCAGTCATCCCTCTCCCTCCCCTGGCTACAGTGCCCGGGCCCAGCGACGAGGAGTGGGCGCGCGAGCGTTCGGAGCTGGCCGTCCAGCTGGCGAGCAGCGCCGCCGCCGCGTGTGGCGCCGGCGCCGGCGCCGGCGCCGCGCTCTGGCACGTCCTGCAGACCCACCTGGGCCCCGCCCTGGAGCGCAGCCTGCGCGGCGGGGATGGCGCGGCGCGGGGCGCGGCCGTCTCCTGCCTCGCGTGGTTGGCGGCGCGCACCCCGCGCGGCACCCGGGCCCCGCAGCTCCTGGCCGACTGCCTGGTGGCCAGCGGGGCGATGGCGGCCCTGGTGCCGCGGTGCATGCGGGACCACTGCGACGCCGAGGGCTGGTGAGGAGGAGTGGGGGTCCTGCGTGCTTTGCCCGCTCCCGCGGGGTGACCGTCGGGCGCCTGGAGGAGGGTGTCGCGCCGGCGCTGCGGCGGCCGGAAGACAGGGGGGCGCAGGGCTCGGACGCCGCGTGTGCGGCTCCTGCAAGCCCCACGGCTCCTGCCGCCCGGCAAGTGTCCCCAGGCCGCGCCACGGCGCTCCGCGCCCAGAGAACGCCGCGCCGCGCCACCGCCACATTCCCAACCCCACGGACCCCTCCCGAACACGCGGCCCCCGACGCAGGCGGGCCCTGCTCCTGCTGTGCGCGGCCTCGCCGCCCCTGCGGGCATGGGCCGAGGCCGTGCCTGGGCTCGTGGCCTCGCTCCAGGGGCTCCCCCTGGCCCCACACGCCGCACTGCTCCAGTACGCCATGGGGGGCGGATGCGAGCCGCTCATTGCCCTGCTGGACGGCGCGTGCCTTGGCACGGGGGTGAGCGGGGTGGGTGGGTGGCACCCAGGGGCCGGCGCTGG